GTGCTCTTGCGGCCGGGTGCTTTTCTTTCTTCCTGGCGACTGGACAGCGCGAGTTTTCAATCATTTCTTTCTTCCCTGGTAGCTTTGGGATGGCTGGAGCCTAAACGGTTATCGCCCTATGGTCTTGTCCATCCTACACTATTGTATGTGTGTTAGCATCTGAAAATCTTAATCTTCTTCTTTAATTTGTTTCTTCTGTAACATCCTTGGAGTCCCATAGCTCTCTCGTATCCTGGTATAGCCTTATTTTTGAATAGTTGGTTGGGTTATGATAGTGCAAGACTTGTTATTTGCCATATTGAAACCAAGATATATATCGGGATTGTTATCATGAACCCCACCAAACCCCAATTATAGCATCTATAGTTAGAAGAAATATACACCACATCCAACGATATACCACCATTTCTGTTTATTTACCTACTTTGTAGCCACAATTCCGCAATAAATATCAAAATGTGGAAATGCCCGTGTGGGTTCTACCGTCATGATCTACAACCGTCCACGGGTGCCCCGCCAAAAAAAACCAGACCCCTCAGCTTCCCTTCGATTTAATATCATTCATTCTTTCGCATTGGCCAACCCCTCTCCTCCTTAATCCCTAAATAAACAATACAAATTCAACCACCATGACTGACCACCAACGCATCCAACTCCCACCCCGCCCAGATGTCCTCGACAGCGTCCGTCTCCGCGACATCGAGCTCCCCCTCCCCTGCGCCCCAGAAGCCTGGCACCGCCAGGGAAAATCCCAACCATGCACCGCAACCCTGAAGCTCTCCTACTCCTCCATAATCACAGCCGCCGAAACCGACAATGTCTCCCTGACCCTCGACTACGGCAAGCTCTTCCGCCGACTAGAAAGCGACGTACGAAACATGGGCGAGAACGTCTCGTCCTCATCCCACCCATCCCAGCGACTGATCAGTCTGGAGGGGACGCGACGCGAGGAAATGCAGAGTCGCGGACTGGGCCAAGACCCGCGCGTGATAGCGGGCGTTGTCGCGGATGCCGGACTCGGTCTGTTGGAGACTACTTCCGCTATCACTGCGGCGAAGCAGCCGAATCCTATCTCGGCGGCTTATGGGGAGTGCGAGGTCCTGCTGCATTTGCCTAAGGCTTTGTTGCGCGCGGATGAGGGGCTTCGGTATCGCGGCGTTATTGCGCTTGGGAAGGAGGTTGCTGGTGGGGAGCCGCGAGGGTTGGTTGTTTTGGAGGAGGAGTTCCGCATTGAGGGGATTAGGTGTTATGCTATCTTGGGTGTGAATCCTCATGAGAGACTTGAGAAGCAGGCTGTTGTTGTTGGTCTTACGTTCCAGGGTCCTGGGCAGCTTGCTTGGGGGTCGACGGTTGTTGATACTTACCAGGCTGTGACGCGGGCTGTGGCTGAGGTATGTGGTTATCCTTTTTCCCCCCATGCTTTTCTTGGTGTCCTTTTTTGGGGGGGACCTATTTGCTGACTTATGTTTGTGTTATAGAAGGTTGATCAGACTGATTTCCAGTCTGTGGAGTCTTTGGCTACTTTCATCGCTCGCATTGTGACTGTGGACTTTGGCAATGAGCGTGTGACGGTCAAGGTGGAGAAGCCAAGTGCTCTCGCTTTTGTCCAGCGGTCTGGTGTGGAGATTACTCGCTCAAAGGCTTTCTTCGATAGTCGTTAAGTGCCGTGTAAGTGGTTTCATGTTATACAGGAGGCTGCAGTGTGCAGATCGACACTCATATGCAAGTTGGTGGCTGTAGTATTGAGGCTGTGTAAGGCTGTCTGAGGCAGGTCTGTAGAACCACATGGCGATATATCGAGGGTTATTCAAAGCAAAATACTGTAATACCATGCAATATCAAGATCTAAATCAAGATATAAATCCGATCAATAAGATCATGTTAATGTCAGCATCTGACACGTGAAATCCCAATCGGGACTAGTGGCTCAGCCCCCGGATCTGCGCCTGAAATCCGATTTTCTGCAGGATCTCGCAGTTTTCTTGCTTTGTTTCACTTCCTGGCGAAGAAAAACTGTTAATCTCTATTTGCTAAAATCTTTACCCTCTATGTGCCCATCTGTGCCTTCGTCTTCGCCTTTCGTTTCGTTTACTGGCTTCTTGGCCAACCTTGATCCATATCCATCCCTTCTGAATATTGATTCTGCTCCTGACGTTTCCAACGTGTCAGCACACCCAGTGCTTTCTCCTTGCGCCTTGGCCTTCGACTCCTCCACCAGCGAGGTGACTTGGGTAGGGGTTCCGGGTCCGTCCTGAAGAAGGGCGGACGGTAAACCTGCTCGAGGATCCAAGGCTGGTCTATTGACTAGTTCGGGCACTGAAGGAAAACCGTGCTTTCATGCAATAAACTCCGCAAGTTGAAGTACGTCTCTTTGATCTGCCTTTCGTTTGCTTTTTTTTTCTTTTTTTCTTGAATTTCTTTTACGTTTTACCTTGGCGATAATTAGTGGGGGTGTGAAAACCCTCACCTACCCCTCTATTCATTCTTTACAGTTGATATTCAAGTTTGAGGCAATTGAAGGCTAACGGGTATCTCTATGTGAACAGCGACTGCGAGATAGGTATTCTGAATACCTTGCTACCATTCTTTACAACCGCGCAAGGTCAATTGTCGACCCTGCGGTTATCGCCGGCGCTTTTACTCAAATTGTTTCGCTTTACTCGCGGAGCTCTCACAGGTGATACAACAAAAGCATAATGCCTTCCTCAAATGCCGAAGACCTGTCGGTCGGAGACGTGTTCGCTCCGCAGGCCGATAGCGAACAGTCCGTCATTGACATCCCAGCCAATCACCGTCGCCCTAATGCACACATGGGCAATCTGTCACCCCCAGAGCAGACAGCCAAGGGATTCAATGGGTTTACAAACCAGACTCTCAACGAGAACAAGCAGCGACGGAAGAAGAAGAAGAACCAATTTGGACCGTCATGCGCAACCGTTCGCGGATTCACTCCTCTGGCATCCGGCGACGAGGAATCGGACTTCTCCGCTGCGAGCTCACGTACACCCTCTCGACCTCCCACTGCGCTTGATGGCGCCAGCCCACTGGTACAGGCGTCTACAGGTCATGGGGTCAGCGCGTTGAAGCTTCAACTCAATACCCTGAGTCTGTCTGACGACACAGCTGGTCTTGGCGGACTTATCTCCAAGACCCCAAGTGCTGCTAGTGTTTACTCCGACAGCGACCAGACCGAGATTTTGACCAGCTATGAAATCCCTCTGGACCAGGACTTTGTTAGTTCCGACGCAGTGCAACCAGAAGTACTTGACGATCGTAACGCGGATGTCCCAGGTATGAACCCGGAGTTGCGCAGCCAACTGTGCCGCAAAATGACAGCAGAGGACTTCGTACCTATTCTCTGTCTGGGTAAGGGCTCATTCGGAACTGTGTTGCTGGTGCGCCATGTTGTCACAGGCAAGCTCTACGCCCAGAAGCAATTCCGGAAGGCTTCTCTCACTGTCCACAAAAAGCTAGTCGAGCAGACCAAGACAGAGCGCACAATCCTGGAAAGTGTCAACCGCCACCCCTTTGTCGTCAAGCTATTCTATGCCTTCCAAGACCACGAGAAGCTCTACTTGATCCTGGAGTACGCGCAAGGCGGCGAACTCTTCCACCACCTCGCCATGGAACGCATGTTTGAAGAAGACGCAGCAGCCTTCTACATGGCAGAGATGGTCCTTGCACTGGCACACCTTCACCAAAACGTCGGCGTTCTCTACCGCGACCTGAAGCCCGAGAACTGTCTCCTCGATGCGCAAGGCCACCTCCTCCTAACCGATTTCGGACTCAGCAAGATCGCGCTCAGCGACGATGACCGCTGCAACTCCCTCCTCGGCACAATCGACTACATGGCGCCGGAAGTGATCCAAGGCAAGCCATACGGCAAAGCATGCGACTGGTGGTCCCTCGGCGCACTGGGCTACGACCTCCTCACCGGCTCGCCCCCATTCCGCGGAAACAACCACGCAAAGCTGCAAGAGAAGATCGTCAAGCAAAAGCTCATGCTGCCCTATTTCCTCGGGCCCGATGCAAAGGACCTTCTCACCCGTCTTCTCCGCAAAGAACCCTCCAAGCGTCTTGGATACCACATGCAGAAGGACCTGCAGATAATCAAGAAGCATCGCTTCTTCCGCAAAATCGACTGGGCTGCCCTTGAGCGCCGTGAGCTCGACCCGCCCATCCAGCCTATCGTCACGGATCCCGCTCTTGCTGAGAACTTCTCTGTCGATTTCACTCACCTCCCGCTCAGCCCGACAATTACTGCCACCGGATTTGACGACTACTATGGTAAGGGACAGGATTTCCCTGGTGGAAAGGGTGCGGATGGTGATGAGCTTGGTGCTGAGAGCAATCCGTTTGGTGGATTTAGCTACGTTGCTTCGAGCAGCTTGCTGGACCATGGATTGGGGGTTATGACTGCTGGATATTGAATTGAAGTCGGGAAATTTGACTGGGGAGAATTGAGAAAATAAGGGTGAAGGCGGAAGGGAGAACGAAGATAATGCATATTTCACATCAAAGGTGTCTCGGCATGCCGTTTTTCGTACATTGCATTGCATGTCATGCATTTCACATGTGGTTTAGGATTGTTTTCCTGTGCAGTTGCTCGTCTTGTTCTGAACATTTGAAGCAATACAAATAGCATCACCTGAACACAAAAGTGGTATTTCACATTGCATATCTACTAGGAGTTTTCTTCCTTCTCTTTTATTTGGAGTAATACATACATGCATACACACAATCCATATCTGGACCTGGAAATCCGAGGTTAAATCTTACATCTTCTGACATTAAGCTATTCATAATATACTCCGTCTCCAGCCCTAATAAATCAGGACGCAGGATAGAAGTACCGTAAAGTAGATAAGCAAAAGGGAGAAAGTTCATCCTCTGTGGGATTTCATTCATTCTCACTCATAAGTAGGATCCTCCCAATTTCCCAAAGGCCACACACGTCCCCAACAGCGATCTGATAAACCCAAGTTTACAGATCTCAGATCCTAGATCTCGCCTTCTTCACTTCCAGCACGATCATCGTCATCAGCCTCGCCCTCCTCTTTCTCTTCTCTCTGCGAGTCTAGTTTACTCCGATAATCCACATCGGCCGTGGGCGGGGGAACGGGCCGGGGGGGAAGCGCGACTGGAACGACATGCTGCTGTTTTTCAGGGAGTTCGCCTTCTTCGGTGCTGGACTCTTCTTTCGGAGGTGAGTGTGTAGATGGTCCTGGCCCCGTTCCTGGCTTCTCACCCGTGATTGATAGGGAGTTAAATTGAGGCGTGGCTTTTGTTTGGGATAATGCTGCTGCGGGGACTCGCGGGCGGGAGGGGGCTGGAGGGTTTGATTTTTGGTTGGTTGTGGGAGTTTCTTCGTGGGAGGGGGTTATGGTACGCTGGCGCTTGGGGGATCGATCGCGGTTACCGTTCCCGTTGAGGGTTGAATGGGGTTTGTTTTGTGGGGAGGATGGGTGTGGGTGTGGTTGAGTGTCGGGGTGAGATTCGGGTTCGCGTGAGCGCTTGCGGCCATTTGTAGGCGTGTCTGAGGTGACGGTGAGGGTTGGAGGGGTGGAGGTGGATTGTTGCTCTGAGGCGGATTTTGTGGGATCGGTGTCGAAGATGCGGGTTGGGTCGTTGGGGTTCGGGGTTGAGTCTGAAAGCGCAAATTCTGGGTAGCCCTTGCTGAGGCTTTGCTGGACGCGCTCGTAAATCTTGACAATGAAGGTGCAGGCGCGGATGAGGTCGTCGAGGCGGACGTCGATCTGCTCCCACCAGGGTCTGCCTTCGGCGTCGTCGGGGAAGGCGACTTTGCAATGGCGGGCTGCGGCGTACAGGGCCGCGGCAGCGATGACGCGGGGTGGGAATTGGAGACAGAGGACAGTGTAGGTTGAGTCGTTGAGGAAGGAGTAGGTGGAGTGTCGCAAAGCCCGGTTGTCGCCGACGCCTAGGAAGACGGAGTAGTCCCAGAGGATGCGGTAGGGGGACTCGACCTGTAGGTCAAAGCACAGGTATTCAAGCATGACGCTTTCGTTCTGCAGAATCAGGTCGCGCCATTTCCAGTAGTCCTTGGACTGCTCGTCGACGATTAGGTTCGGCTGCTTCATGGCGACGCGGCAGCATGCAATGACGAAGTCTTTCATGCGGCGCATGGCCTCGTCCACCTTGAACGCGACAAACAGGGCCACCGCGGCGATCACCTTCGGGTGCATCAGGTCCGATCCCATCTCCGGATATTGGCCCATCAAGGAATAGCGCATGAGGAAGCGGTGCATATACACCGTGGCGGTCATTGAGGTCTGCGGGGGCATCTTCAACATCACGCTCACTTGCCAGATGAACTCGACTGCACGGTGCCGGATGTAGTCCTCCTTCCCACGTTCAATCTTATCTATGCGCGAGGGCGTGCGCTCAAATTCTTCCTCGGTGAATAACCATTTTTGTTGCTCTGCCTCCAACACCGGATTTGGTAGGCCGGGGGTGCGTCGCTTCGGCGGTGCTGAGGAAGCCATGGTTGTGCGAAGTGAAGAGGGGGAAGACGAATAAGATCGACGAGGGGCTGTTCACACAATGGGGACAGAGATGAAGCGCATCCGGCGCGCCTGATAAGGAATAGCTCGCGTGCGTGGCTAACAATAATCGTTATCGTTCCAAACGTCACAGTCGTTAGGCCAAATTTAGCATGGCGGAGCTTTCTATCGCATTGCGGAGATGATAGTTCACGGCGGGAGATGGTCGGAGAATTGGAGAAGGTAAGTCAGGGATAAGCAATATATAAACAACAGTGCGCTGCCTAAATATCGAGCACTATCAGACAACCTGCAAGGCGGCAAGGACCTCCATATTGACGCAGTCGACAAGGGAAGCTTTTGGATCGGAACAATGGTTTTTCCGAATGGGAAACTATTTATCCGGAAGGTAAGAGATACCAACCTCGGGAGTATGACGGTATGACAATCAACAGTCAGTGTATTATATCCATGGAGTAATAGACTCTCATGTAAAATTAATTCATCATTGCTATGCAATTACATTGAAACAATCCCTATAAACAATTACAATTGGTATCTAGTACTTTGGAATCAAAGTCCGTCCTGGCGCCACGCTGATAGATGCAATAGACAAAAAAGGCCGACTAGGCATTTACTCCTCCTCGCTGACTTCACTTTCATCATCACTGGGAACATATTGTCTGGTCGTGGGTTGACTGTATTGGTGGCTCCGAGCCTCCTCTTCACGAGCACTCTGTTCAAAAGCGGCCTCCATCTCCGCCGCCAGAGCATCATCATCTTCCACTTCATCCTCTTGAATAGCCGTGCCTGTATGGACCGAGGAAGTAGGTAGAGCTGTGTTGCCGACCGGGGAGGGTAGACTAAACTCCCCAATGTCTTCGTCCCCATCATCATCATCATCATCTGCTGGGGTGTTATTGGACGAGAAGTAGGTCCGGTCCACGAATGGGCGCGGAGGTGGAGATCCCATATCAATAATGAGATCCCCGTCAACAATGATGTTCGAACTGGGAGACTGCCCAGCTAGTTGTGATCCCGTGCCTGCATCAGACGGGGACGAGCGAGAGCCCTCATGCTCAGGTGGGTCGGGATAGCTGACCGGCTCGGCTGGCTTGGCGGGCGCGTATGCTTTGGCTGGTGCCTTTGCCGGCGGTTTCTTCTGTCGCAGCGGGTTTGCTTGCGTTTGTGGTTGTGTTTTGGGTCGAGGTGGTGCAGGTCTAGGCGCAGGTCTGGCAGCCGGCATCAAGGGTGTGCTGGCCCTGCTGATGGCAAGTTCTGGGGTGCTGTGGCCTGAGGGTGGCTTATCATCCTCCCGGCGATTCTTCGGGAGGAAATGTCGGAAGTCGTAAGGGTTGCTATCGTCGGCCGGTCCCTCATCCTCACTGGTGCTCCCTCCGTGCCGGTCTTCTCCCGAGGTTGCTGGTTCATCCTCTTCCTTTATCCTCAGTTGTTCATATTGCTCGCGGACCTGCTTTTCCGTCTTTCCTGGAGCCGACCGTAAATTAAAGTTCAAGGTTGTTGAGACCGGCTCCAGAACAAAGACTTTCCGCTCCGGATCGAAGATCAGGACCAGGCTTCGCTCGCCCGACGGGTCCTCGCTGCCTTTGTATGAATAGGTCAATGTTTGATCGGCGTTCGGGGCCTTATCAGTAACGGCGAGGTCATAAAGGTCGGCCGATCGGGAGTGGGTGATGGTCGCACGTTGCTGTGAGGTGGCGGACTTGGATTTGTGGTTGTAGTTGACGTTGATCAGTCGACTCGTGTTTGGGTTTCGAGCGAGCCTTTCCCCTAGCACAATTGGGTATTCGGCTTGCTTTGTCGGGTCGATCATGGCGGATAATGTGGGGGTAGCCATATTTGCGCTCACGGAAGTGTAGAGACCCCCAAAATCGAGGTGATTTGTACAATGCAGAGGAGAAGGGGAGGGAAAAGGGAAAAGAAGATTGGAAATCCCCAAAGTCGGGGAAAGGTTGAGGTGGAGAAGAACGGAATTAGGAAACGGCCTCCCCACTCATACAAGGGCGATTTATAGGATTCTTGGATTCCTTGCTTTCTTACTTTCTTACTTTCTTAGTTCTTACTTTCTTAGTTTCCAATGAGATTGGATCTTTTTGGTCTTTTGATATTTTGATATTTTGATCTCATGTTTCATCTCGATTCGACATGCTTATATTCCGAGTTCTGTGCTACATTTTACGCAGTGAGGCTTCGGGTCCGACTTCGGCATAGCATAAGCACTGGGCATAAAGTACGGGATGAATTATAAAGAAACACATAAAGCAAGGTACTTCCATTAGACGATAATTACTAGCCGAAGCATAAACAAAAAAGCGGCTTGCAGAAATACAATGCAGTAAAGCAGGGCAGGAGGAGGTATCCAGAAAAAAAGAACGCGAGGCATCAAAGAAAAGCATGGAGTATCTGTCAGCTATGACAGCCAAGACTATACCACCCAGGATGATTGGAATCAAAGAACAGATTCCAATGTCGGAAATTTGACATTACCGAGTCGTTTATTTAAGCTTCTCCTTGAGCTTGCCGAAAAAGCTACTCAGGCGGTGCTTCTTCTTCTTGTCACCGATAGTAGAAGCACCTTCAGTGCTGTGAGACTGTTTGGGAGACTGCTCTGCGGTCTTGGCGGTCGAAGTAGCAGGAGTTTGAGTAGACTCAGCTCCAGTCGTCACAGTAGGATCTGTGGGCTTTGCGGCCGGGGTGGCAGGTGTGTGAGTAGACTCGACTCCCGTCGCAGCGCTAGGACCTGCGGGTTCCGCAGTAGTGGGAGCCTTGGTTTCGGGAGTCGAGGTTTCGACAGTCGAAGTAGTCTCAGGGCCAGTTGTGACAGTGGGCCCACTGGATTCGGCGTTCTTCAACGCCGAAGATGGGGCAGCAGCAGCAAAGCTGCGGTCCAGCGGAGGAGTCGAAAGTGGCGAGACATCTGTCGAGTCTACGCCACTAGCAACAGTGAGATGGGGCGCAATGGCCTGGGTGGCCGCAGTGACGGTAGGCGCCGGAGCACCCGCGGACTCTTCAACGGGGATCTTCTTCTGCAGTTCCTCCTCGATAGCATGCTTCTCGTCGACTGCTACTTGGTTCGCAGCAGCCTCCGGGTCCTTGTGGGCCTCGGCCAACGAGTCCTTCACCACCTGGGGGACTTCATCGACAGGCTTGTCGCCGTTGATTTCCTTGCCCTTTGACTCCAGTGGCACACCAGCAGCCAGTGCTGCCGTGGTCGAGTTGGGGCCAGCGGACTGGATGTGGTATCCTGGATCGGCCATCGCTGCCTGCTGCGCCGGACCTCCGGTGTAGATCGGCTCAGCCTCACTAGATGCGGCGCGTTGCGCAGGTCCACCGATCGGAAGACTAGATTCAGGAATCAAGTCGTTCGTGATTGGGGGAAGGGTATATGGGAGATCGCCAGAGTTAGTGTCGGTGTTCTGGTTCCCAGTGTTGAAAGGGAGAGTTTGGCCCTTCTCATATGACTCTTTGTCCAAAGTGACAGCCGAGTCAACGGTGTTGTTGTGGAGGGTGCTATGATGAGGGACTTTGTCACCCGGGTTCAGGCTGACGGGGTTGTCAAAACCTTCCGAGGCTGGGATGGGATCCACGGAAAAGGTCTGTTCGGATTCCTGTCCCGGAGTGTCTGGGAAGCTACCAGGTAGATCCCCATTGGGCTCCTTGGGAACGCTAGCAGCGAGAGCCGCGGTTGTAGAATCAGGGGTCACGCCAGACATAGTGGGGGCGAAGTTGGAGTCCTTGATCTCTTCAGGTAGAAGCACGTTGTTGATATTGTTATGTCCGTCTTCTTCTTCACGTACGTTGGGATCTGTAGTCCAAATACCGTCGACAACAAACTTTTTTTTTTTAAAAAAAATTCAGTCAGCGAGGAACCAGACAATCTTGGAACCTTGGAAGATTCCGGGGAGTTGCGACTTTATAAATGGGGGGGGGGGAGCGGCACAGGTGACGTCAGTGGAAAGTCCCCTGTTGCCTAAGGCTCACCGCCATCCAATCTACGGGGAGCCAAGGGCAATGGCGAAAAGGAAGGTGCGAGAAAAAAAAAGATAGTCAGCCCATACCTTGTACTGGACTTTTTGTACAGAAGATATAGTCACTTCCTTGACAAAGATATCCCCCACCCGGTCCAGTTTCACCGTCTTACCCCAATCATCGAAATTGCCAGTTACGAACACCTCGCTCGCATTGTAAGGCCTGCAAGTAACCGTCTCAGCATTGTATCACGAGGATGTCGAGCAATGCCGAGATATGGAGCTCTCTAGCTAAGGGGGTCATGTTGGAAGCTTGACTCACCATTGAAATGTAAAAGTTCCCATCTTGACACAACTTTAGAGAGAAAGTTGAAAACAGAAAAAGTTTAGAAGACAGGGAAAAAAAAAAGGCAATGACTTGGGATTAAAATCAGTGGGGTGTGACACAGACCAGTACCTGACCCTGGAGAGGATTTAGCGCCTGTATAAATTCTGATTCTCCTCATGCATTACCCTATGTGGCCCTAGATGTCCATACATCAAGGGGCTGGGGGGCGAACCGTGGCTGTGGCCGGGTCTATGCGCCCGATCTAGACTTTGATGACTTTTATGACGCCATGTCAGGAGCTTTTAGGCTTACTTTGTACATTACCTAGCTTATATGTCTAGCTTAGTGTTATTCTATGGCAGTGATATGTGATATTAAATTTGTATATAACATGATAATTAAAATGGAACCATCTGAAGCTTTAAAGTTTCCAAGATTTTGCGGTTCTGCAGTATTTTCTCCACCGAAAAAGATTATAAGGTGACATTTGAAAACGGCCGAGTCCATGACATATGTGACCTAGGAACTTCCCAAGGTTCCGTTGCCACTTTAGTGGCGAATATGCAATTCTAGAAGACGCTTAGAAGACGCTTGAAGCGTTGGTCTTTTTCTCAATGCTAATCTTATAGTTAGTTACTATACCACTACCTACATATATAGATAAGTATATGGGTGAGTCATGTCGA